AGCACCACAACGCGCGATACAAACACACTCGCACACCAACTCACACCACACGTCACTTCCACAATCTCACTCGTCCAACCAATTCTCGCTCATTCTCAACCTTTCCACCATACCGCGCCCGCATAAAACGCATAAGGCCAACGGTCTTCTGACCTCGTCAGGCATCGTCACCCCGTCGGACCGGGCATCGTCACCTCGTCAGGGACGGCATTGTCCCGCGTAAACGAACACGCCTCAGGACGGAATCCTACACTCACACTTCCTTAATTACCACGCCCGCGTAAAACGCATCAGGCCAACGGTCTTCTGACCTCGTCAGGCATCGTCACCCCGTCGGGCCGGGCATCGTCACCTCGTCAGGGACGGCATCGTCCCGCGTAAACGAACACGCCTCAGGACGGACCTTACCCCGCGTAAACGAACACGCCTCATGGTCTCACTTTTCAAACCAATCCTACATTCCTGTACCTTCGTTCCATTCAAATCACTCTACACACGGCCAACAACCGCACGACCAAACATACACATTTCACACACATTTCACAATTCACGTCCTCATCACATGAACACACCATCCGATCACACATATTTAGCACACGAACTCAATGCGCATTCACATTACCACGCCACCACACCTCGCGGCCATACGCATACGGCACACCACCAATCCACAATCAGTCCAGAATACATTCCCAATCAGTCCACAAACACAACCAGCACAAACATTCTAATCAGCCCATTTAAGCCACAAAAATTCCAATCAATTACACAAATTAACCGCGATCGCTCCACACATCACAGCCATCATCGAGCCTCCAAATCCTCACAAATTTCTTCGCCAAATTAGTCCCCAAATCAGCCCACGACAACCAAATACCAGCCTTCATCTCAGCCCCCGAAACAGCCACATAAACCCCTAAACCGAACCCTAAACATGTCCTACGATACCCGAAGTCCTAGGTAGTTTTTGGGGAAGACACTTACCTAAGAAAAACAGGGCAACTCAGCTGGACAGAGGCGGGGACAGCCGGAACAGCAGCAGCAGCGTCGCCGGCGACCAGGCAGGCGTGCGGCTGCTTCACGGCGAGCAGGTGGCTGGCGGGCGGTTCACGGCCGGCTGGGGGCGGCGATGGTGACGTACGGGACAGGGGAGGACGGCCAGAGGTGGCTCGGCAGCGACTGGGCTGATCGGAACAGGGAACGGGGAGAGAAAGAGGAGAGGCGGACAGTGGGGTGGCCGGGGAGGGAGAAGCGGCAGCGGCGGATGGCTGGGCTGGGCTGGGCAGCGACCGGCGGCGGCGAGCTGGTGGCCGGCCAGGGGCTTCACGCACGGGGAGAGGGGAGAGAGAGAGCAAGCCGATCGGTGGGGGGGTGAGGAGAGAGAGAGCGTGAGTGAAAAGAGAGAGGAGAGAGAGAAAAACTAATTTTATAATCTAACCTCAATAATTGCACCCCGGAAATTACCAAAACACCCCTCTAACTACCCTCCGATCCAATGGCCACGATTCGATCTCATCCACATCCGACGGCCCACGCTTAATCTTAACAAGTCAAGGGGCGAAAAGGTAATTACTCAAAAAGGGAGAGGGACATTCTTGTCCTTATAATTTCGGCCACACAGGATTATTCTCAGTCCCCCGACTTAATCCAGTCCTTAAAATTTGGAATAGTGAAAATTGGGCACAGGGGCATTTCCGTAATTTTTCGGTCCCGGGTCGAAATTCCATTTTTCGACCGTACACACTCCAATTATGCGTGGCCACCCTAAAATGGCATCGGCCTCAAAAAAATAATCTCATATGGTCTCAAAAATCGACGTCGAAGTCCAGAGGGGCAAAATCGTAATTTCCCCGGTCCCGAACCGAAATCCATTTTTTTGCAGAAATGGGTGGCCCCAAGGTTGGCCAAGCCAAAAACGTCATCGGCCGCTCAAAATTGTCACTTTCAAAATTCTCGATTCCCGGGCCCGAATTCCAAGAAATGACTAAAATCGAACAATCGCGACTTTAGCTTATCTCTTGCTAACGGGTGGCTCATTAGGATTACGCGCTCTCGACCCGTGACCGACACTAAGTCCAATCACGTTTAAGTTTACTCGTACCAAGGCGACCTCGATTGTCATGTAATTGTGAAGGTCTGTCGCTAGTTCCCTTCGGACACGATCAATCAATTAGATCGGTCTCGGTTGGCTCAAAACATTCCCTCATCAATCCTTATGGTCGAAGGTCGAACCAAGGTCGAGTTCTTTGGTCGTGCGAACTCAGTCCCGTAATGGCCTTACCCCTAAGGTTAGCATCCCGTAAATGCGCATTTCCGGGTGAGATCTCACTATAAGTGCATTGGCCATAATATTCATTTCTTAAATCCCGGGAAAAGGATCGAAAATTCAGACTGTTAGAGAGAGAGAGAGAGAGTCTGAAGGAGTCGAGTCCTGTATGACCCCCTGCAATTCCATCAAAATGCAAAATTGAAGGAGAAACTTGGGCTGACATTCAAAATGGTCCATATTACTACAACAAGGCATGAACCTGATCAATAGCTAGAGAAATGTTTAAGCGCAAGGCAACGCTCCGCCCAAAGGCATCAATTACTATTGACCTTATAGCGATGATAATAGTCATCCGCCACATCTCCGGTGCTTGCATCCTCTATTTTCTTTGCATTCCAGATTTCAGTAACATCTTATAACAATATTCCTAACCAAAATATTAACAGCTTCATTACAATACTGGAGAGATAAATGGTAAAGAGAGTGACCCTTGCTGCTAAAAAATTTCCTTTTTTCAGTAACACTAACAGCTTCATTACAATACTACAAATTGGAAGTTCCAAACAGTCATTTACTTAAATTACAAATTACAGATCTAGACGTCATTCCGCCATTACAATCATAACAGAAAGTGAGTTTCGCCACATAAGGAACAACTACAAAGATACTATGAGCTTCAGCATCAGTTCTGCCTATTCTGGCAAGAGCGTACGCACACAAGTCAGTGATTTCATATAGGGGATAGTGGCTCTCTTATCCCAACTCTCCACTTCAGTCTTCATCTTTTTTTCGGTTTTTTTTGGGGGAAAATATCAATTACCATCCTCACTTTCACACCTTATCTCATTTTGCATCGTCACTCTTGAAAATTTGCATCTTCCATCTTGTGTTGTGTTAAGAAATAAAATTGACTAGAGATGGTGGAGCTGAAATGCAATAAGAGAGTACTGCTATATGGATGCCTTCTAAGCAGGTCTAGCAAGGCTGAGGAAGGCTGACGTGCCTCTAATCTGCGAAGGCTAAGATTACACCGTACAGCATCACTTAATCAGGCAATTTACACAAAGGCAACCGGACACTAACATGCCTTCTGGTATAAACACACTGATCTAGCTAACCGTGATATCTCCGGAACAGGGCTATAATGCAGAAAGAAACATATGACTTGCTGTTGCTGATATAGCCAATCCAACCTTGGTCCATCTTAAGAACCAACAGTTTATTTTGCTTTTCAGGCTGTCTTCTCCGCATGAATAATTTCCAGTCAAACCCAACGTTGCCAGTCATACATTGTCATTCCCAAATCTGCCAAAAGCACGGTTACATCTTTATTTTAGCTGTCTGCCCCTGTTCTTTTTTTTTTTTTTTTTGGTCGGCTGTCTGCCCCTATTCCGCTAGCAACATCAGTAAAGAAATCAGCCAAAATCCATCTAACAAACTTGTTTTGGTTAGTTGGTGATGACTCATAATAGTCATATGCAGAAGTTGAGGTTGAGGTTGACGGATGAGGAACCGGAAGATCCTGCCAATGTAAAGATGTCAACAAATTGGCCAGAAAAGTATACCATCAAGCTTTGTTTTCTTGCTTAGAAACAATCACAAGCACTCAGCAAAAATGAGTGCATTTAATACTCCCACTCCTCATTATTTACTTCAGTTTCAAGCGGAGACGTGAAGCAAATGTACTTCACAAGCACAGCCATTTGCTATTATAAATCTGACCAGGTATGCTTTAGAGCATCCAGAGGCCATAACATTAGATAAGTAATCCTGCTTTGTTTTTCTTTTTCTATGTTATGTTCTTTGGATTGTCATATTGGGAGCAGCTGTCGGTTCCTGTTAAGAATAACAAGGAGTCTGCTCTCTTCTGTTTAATGTTTCAAATAAACCACAGAGTCTTAGAGGCGTTCTGAAAGTATGGCCTGCTTTGTTCATATGCCTGCCCCACGCTTACACAATCTTTTAGCCACATACAACATTCAAAGGCTTTTTAAGCGGTTCAAAAATCTGAGATAAGCTGGCAGTACATGGGAAATGGCAACTCGACATTGTCAGCCAGTCAATGAAGAATGGTGTGATGTGTGTGGAGAGAGAGAGAGAGAAAGGGTGAAACTTGGGCTTTTGGAATGACATATTTGGGTCAGCATGTGCTCATCATGGTTCATTGTGGAGAGAGTATCCACATTCAAATAACTCAGCGTTCATGCAAATTGTCTGTCTCAATGGACACTTTTCTCCAAATGATTCTTGGGCTTTGGCCTTTGGTGTACCATTGATCTGCATTCTCCACTCGAAGTTCATCGCAGGAGTTCTCTTTATTCCTGTTGATCCAGAAAGGCATTCTGTATTTCTCAATATCCAACAATTATAACTCTGTAGCTTTCTAATTCATCGTGCCTCCCATCTACCAAACCACTTTTTGCAGCATACGGTGATGAAGACGGCAGCCTCTGGTAGCAATAACGCTGATATGAGCACCGCAAAAAGTAACAGTCAAGAACAGAGCCCCAGTACATCCTCTGAGCTTTGCTTTCATCGGTTTCAGCGTCATCAATCACCAGTGTCGCAATTAGGATGCAGCCAAAGCTGTTTATCCTCAAATCTGGGCAGAAGCGGATTCTATACAACGGACAACAAGTCAAGCAATGACACATCTTCTTCTTCTGTTCCTACTGTAGTTGCATGTTCTATTGGCCGTCGGCAAGTGGATTTAGATGCTTGTAACCTATTTTCGTGTAATTTCCAGCAACCAAGATCAAGAAATTGCGAATCATTGGCTTATGATCATTCAGAAGACCAGCAATGCGTTGCTCTTCAGTCCCATGATGATCTTCAATATCTAGTGAACTTTCTCATTTACAACAAATGGAATGACCAAAGTCATCAATTGCCCCAGCCACAGAACTGCACTAAACTTGCCGTTTTAAGCAATGGACGAAAGCATAGTAAGAAATATCTCAATACCAAGGTATGTAACATAACATGAACATCGCAGATGTTTGTGCACTGATCATTCTTCGAAAGAGGGGTCTATCATCTTCTTTCAAATTTGTGTGTGTCAGTTAGAGAAGGGGTCCCCCGTTTCTGGAAATGAAGCTGAATCTGATGCTTATCCTCACGGAAACTCCATTTCACCAGCAGCTGCTATTTCTAGTAATAGACGAATTAGATGGACTCCACATCTTCACAACCAATTTCTTGAATGTGTAAATCGTCTGGGAGGAGCTGAAAGTAAGTTTTGGACAGAAAATGTCACTTTCGAGTCAATATCCATACATACTTCAATTGACGTCCAAGTCATGATTTATCGGATGTCCACAGGAGCGAAACCAATGTTAATTCTGAAGCTAATGGATGTCAAAGAGTAGACAATCTTTCATATTAAGAGTCACTTGCAGGTACTCCAACATAATGACTTTCCGTCTATTAGCCGAAAATCATTGCCCATCCCTAAGATTTTGTTCAGAATTTCAAACCAAAACTTTATTTGTCTATTACATCACAGAAATGTCGCATGGCCAAGTACATTACAGAATCTAAAGAAGGTAATTCTGTGCATATCTAAGGTGACCATGATTGAACATTCCTTGCAAGTGACAGGAGCTCTACTATTATTGAAGAAACTTATTTATGTGCATAAATCATATTGTACATGCAGGAAAATCAGAGAAGAACAATTTTGACTCAATGCCAGTGCACGACCTCAAAACGTAAGCTTCGACTTGTTTGTTTTTTATTAACTCCGGTATACAAACTTAAGAAGAGCACAAAACAAGCACCACTCATGAGAGGGGTGCAAGTTTCAAGTATCGTATGTCTGTCTTGAACAGGAAGTGATGATATGAGTAAAATAAGCATGCTGAATATTTGTTGGCAACAGAAGCAAGCTGATTGCAGAAGCTTATTGCAAAACCTTGCAGATGCAGCTGAACGTACAAAAGCGACTACTTCAACAGTTGGAGGTAGCTATTCTGAAAATGTTACGTTCTGTCACATTCACACATACATGCACGTGCAAACTTTCAGAAGTCTACACATAAAATACAGCGATAAGAAAGTAAGATTTCATTTCATCCTTCTTGAATTACACATACAGATGCAAAGAAGTTTACAGATGAAGATTGGTGAACAGGGAAGGCAGCTAATACGCTTCTTAGAGAAGCGTCTTAAGAACAAAAGTTGAGCATCCCTCTCAGATCCTCCTATAACCAAGAACTTCTAATGTCTTATTTGAAGTCCAAGCCAATATCTTCCTTTGCATCTGCCAACCTCAGTGCTCTTAGAGTGAGATATGTGCCATCCGGATGCAAAATAGGAGGAAGCATTCAACTCCAGAACATTTGGCCTTCGTCTTACGCTATTGTGTTTTTAAAGAAATCAGACAAAAAATTATTAAAATGTTGACTATGGATATTGAGCTCTATGGTCAAAACTTACCGCTGTAATATTCTATCAACTATCGGTAAAGTTTTGGAAATAAGATAGTACTTTTATGCAATCTCACGAGGAATTTATTTGATGACATGGGAAACTTCTATATTAATGTGTTTATCATGTTATGGAGAACGTCTTTTGTTCATTGATTGTATCACGTGCATCGACAAGTGGAGCACCAAGTGAATCAATGACAAGATTTGTCAAAATTCATACATAAAGTTAATCGAGATTCATACTACGCAAATCGTGATTCACTCGTCACACCACGTCAATTGAGATGTAAAATAGTTTCTAAAGCACTACGATTATTAACCCTACAAGAAAAATGCTAGTTCAGAAAAAATCATGAAATGACTTGGATCAGTTGTTTGATCTGCTGTCGTTACAATTTACATACTAATAGTCCTCTATGGAGTAAACGAAATGTCAAAATAGGTGGAACAACCTGAGTTCATATTCATGACACACAATACAAGAAGAGGATGAAATGAATGAATGCATCAGTTCATCGTCTACAGCCTGAGGGTATTGATGAAAGGAACCGCATCATCAAGCTTGCGGTTGTAGAAGCTTTGCAAGTATTCAGAGTGCGAAAGGGTTTGGTAGAGAGGGGTGAGTCCAGTGGCGGTGAGGAGCTGTGGAGAAGATCCAACTGGAAGAGACGGGCTGGGATAGCAGGTCACTATGGATATCCTCTCTTTCTCTTTGTGTGACGGCCCAAGCCAAGCGGCGGAGCGTGTGGAGGAGGGATGGCGGTGCGTCCACGCCACTACCCCGGACGTGTGCAAGGAAGTAGGGTACTTCTCTTGTCCCACATCGCCTAGGGAGGGAGCCTTGGGCTTGCTTATAAGGCTTGGGGAGCCTTAACCTAGTACGGCGCGTTTTAAATCCGTGAGGGCTTTGGCCCAAAGCAGACAATATCGTGCTAAGGTGGGTTTTCAGGTAGCTACACTTTGTTCACCACCGCTCTATGATCTGGTGCTCCGTTTGTGCCATTGCTGTAAACCTCCATGATTTGACCTAAATTCACGACAATGCTGCCAGGAACAGGTGGAACCGTGACGCAGCTGTCATCCCTGCTTAGGACCTGAAGACCGTGTTGCCGCACTCCGTCAACATGGTGATCCCTGAGTTGTCGGCATGTGGCGATAGGCCCATTGCCCTCTCGGGTTCCAGGCATGGCGGGCAGTAATTCATCCTGACCTCGTGCCTCCCTTCTCTGAAACTTTCCATCAACGACTTCAGTTCACCTTCATGAATCCCCAACGCCATTCCAATATACTTCACTACCGCCACTGCCACTTTCCTGAAATCTTCACTGTATTGCTCCTAGTGCTTTCCTGATAAATGCGGTATTCATAGTCAAACATCATTTGCTTAATTTAGCTAAAGTGAAATGCACAAACATAATAGAAACCAAAAAGATGGAAACAAATTGCCTGAAATCTGGGGGATTTTGTGGCGACAGATCGAGATTTCTTGCATGAGAAGGAAGGCATTTGAGGAAGATCATGTCGTTCCGCTCCAGCTTCTGGTCGGGAGAGGTGACGAAAGCCTGCCCATAACCTTTGAGACTTCCTGGTCTCTGTGCCGACTATTGCTTCTCATGGTAAGGCAGTTCAAAGAACCCGTGCACATTTTCCTTCATCATCCCCATCCCTTCATCCGACACTTCGTGGTTCACTAACTGCACATTCATGACAACTTCACAATCTCCTGCTTTTCCAAATTCAACCCCATCCCACGAAGATACGATAATGATTGTTTTATTTTAGGAGACAATGGTTCATATCATATACGAAGACACCGAGACATCATTTCAATGGATTCAAACTTGTTAACCATTTCATCTACCTGAAATGACTCACCAACTTGACCGACTCGTTTAGACGCAAAATAAAAAACAGAGGTGGGTGTCCAAGCGCAGTGACCATTCCAAGTTCACCTCCTCCTCCTCCTCCATGGTTGCCTCTTCTGTGATCTCCCCAACCTGGTTTCCTGTATCGCCGGCTTGTATATACGTTGACTGGGTCCAATTCAACATCGCCGATTCTACAAGTCATAACAGGATTAGGTATAGTGCGAGGGTTGATCTTTAGCTACATACACCAAATTCATTTAAGGATTTTCCGTCATAATGGTTCTCAAATCTTAATGCTTCCCGAATTACTTGCTAAGAATACCTCAAGAATAATCTGAGAGAAAAAATCTCTTTATGAATCAAACTCCATTGCACTTTTTTTTAAGTGCACTTTGGTGTTGGGTGTTGACCATATTGGCCAATTTCCATGTATATGCAATATAATTTCATAAATATGTAATTTGATTATAAATCAGTGTCGAGATTCCTATGCGTCATCGTGGATAAAATATGTGTAACGAGAAAGGAATCATTTTTTGGAAAATAAATTACATTTATGTTACTGAATGGATGTAATGACCCTAGGTAGTTACTAAATACACGTGAAGAGAGAGATCACAATGGTTAATTTTAACATGATTTAATGCGTTAACAGTGATGAATCCAAAATATGTGAGATAATGGCGGTTTTGGCGAGAGAAAACCGGTTCGTCGGGCCTGGATTTGGTTTCTGAGCCGAAGCTGGACCGGATAAGATAGTAGACAGGCGGGATGGAAGCGTAACGCATCCGGTTGCAAACCGTGATAGAAACATCCGGTCCGGTCCATTCCCATCCGGTCGGTGGTTGATGTGATCTGGGCGTGAAATGTGAAAACCGATTCGCTCACTTGCGAATTGACTCCCCTCTGAATTCTCTGAAAAGTAAGCGAGAAAGAGAAAATTCTGCGGTGCAGACCAGATGAATGCAAGAAAGTTACGGTCTTCGATTGGAAGCAATCGAAATCGATGAATGCGCGTCTCCCAGGGAGAAGAAGAAGAAGAAGAGAAGCACGAATTAAGTGGTGGCATCTGGGACTTGGGGGGGGGGGGGGGGCGGATCAGGACCTCGCTGGGTTTAACTCGAGTTTGACTGTGCAGTGCAAGCTCCTTGGTGGGTCTCCCGGCACTTCTTCTTCTTCTTCATCTTCCTCTTCTTCAAATTTTGCAACTTTCCTCTGCTTGGTTTCAGAACTGGCTATGGACTACGAGCCATACGACAGCAGCGGTGAGTTCTTTTCTGAAGAAACGAGCCTCCCTTCCCTTGCCTAATTTAGGTTTCCCGAAGTGATCTTTAAGTGCCTCCTTTCGGATTCAATGCTCGAGTCCTTGATTCTCTTGGTCTTTCCGACTTCAGGGTTCTATTGACACTTTGTCCCGCTTTGTCTGTGCATTCTGCATTTTGTTCGAGCTTTTCTGTGTTCTGGGTGAATGGTGTGCAGTTTGTTTGATGGGCGGCCATCGTTTGATCTTTCTCCCGGTACTACCCGTACTAGTAATTTCTTCATTTTAGAAGGAAGATCGATTCACTTGCTGCCGGGATTGCTTTTCCCATTTCATCTTTTGATTCATTTTTTTTAGCCCTCAGTCACTCGTTTTGCCCGTGAAATTCCTTTCGTTGCCGGTTGTTATAAGTATATTGAAAGCTTCCATCTTGTGACTGGAGCTGCTAGTCAGCTCAATGTGGAGTCTATGCCACTCAAGGTAGCATGCGGTGCAGTTGTCTTTCTAAAGCTCTACAAAATTGCTTTCGCGGAGCTCCCAACACATGCCGTCCCTTGTCAGGCCCTTGTTTAGATACTAAAGAGCTGATATTTACCAATGTGACAAAGCTCACTGAACAAAAACTAGCATCACGAGAGATCAAAACTGCCCTTTTTGTTCTCAAGAGCACATGACGCTATGTAGATTGCGGTGCAACTTGTACATATACGCGGCCATATGAGATAGCTGAAACTGGAGTATGGAAGTGGCTGATGTAGAGATTCTACAAGAGAGGAGTTGTGTGATGTGCAAAACTTGTGATCCTCGTTTCAACTGTTTAATCTTTCAAATTTCTAAAGTAATTGGGAGGCTGTTTATATTGGCAATTAACTTGGAAGTTACTACTGTTTCGTTTTTAAGGGCATCTTGTAGATGTAGTAGAAGGAAAAAACTTAGTGCCTTCACACTCAAAGTTCCATGACTGAAGAATCTGACAAATGTTAGATTGCAATTTGAATTAGATAATTTCTGCTAAGACATAAGTCTAGCTATTGCTAATATATAGTGAACTCTCAATTGGTCCATGTGCAAGTGAGTGATCCTATTCTCTGAGCCTGTTGGCAGTTAATTTTGATAGATGGAATATTCCTAATTGTATGTTCCCTAAAATAATCTGTTAATATAGGAAATCTATGGGAATATGAGACTACTCCTGTTTCCCTCCTATAGTTGGGTTTCATAACAAGTTAGACTCCCCTTTCCAAGCCTGCCAATCTTTGATCAAGGCAATTTTCGTCTCCGATCATTAATTCGACTGTTGCGGGACTACTTTTACTTATAGATACAATGAAATATTTCCTTCTTACCCAAATAAATACTGTTTGAATGCATCATCTCTAATCTACCATAGTCTGTAGGCTCTCTGGATTTGAAAGGGTACATTTATGGTAGCTCTGTAGCAACTGCACATTTGAGCAACCCGTCTAGTTGATAGAGGTCCCTGCAGTGTAACTCCTAGTTGCTTTCTTAGTATCAGAATGCCATCCATATTTACTTCCTTTGAAAAGGAGTGCAGGGACTGATGACGATCTTCCTCCGTCACATCAAAATAGAATTCCCAGAGGAGGTCACCTTTCTGGAAATGGGAGAGCTGGGTTTGGAGGATCTCTGTCTTACCAAAGAATGTACGCTGAGACAGATATGGAAAGTCAAATTCACCAACTTGAGAGGGAAGCATACAGTGCAGTCCTGAGAGCCTTTAAAGCTCAGTCTGATGCCATTACTTGGGTATGCGGAGCGATTACTTGTATCAATCTTATGTCCGTTGACTGTGTTTGTTCAGGTTTAATGACTGATACATGAATATTATCTTCTTCAGGAGAAGGAAAGTTTGATTACTGAACTTAGGAAAGAACTGAGGTTATCCAATGAGGAACATAGGGAGCTTTTAAGCCAGGTTAATGCAGATGATGTCCTAAGGAGAA